TTTCATCTGTAATTGTTCCATCTTTTTAACCCTGTAAAAACAGCTATCTGATTCTGTCAAATAGACATAGAAAAGTAAGAAACTTGTGTAAGCCTGGCGGTGGTGGCACACACCTTTAATCCCAGCACTTGGAAGGCAGAGGCAGGTGAATCTCTGTGAGTTCGAAGCTAGCCTGGTCTACAAGAGCTAGTTTCAGGACAGGCTCCAAAAGCTACAGAGAAACCCTGTCTCGAAAAACCAAAAAAAGAAAAAAAAAAAAAACTTGTGTAATAAGCAGGAAAAAAATCTAATCTACAAGATCTCCTGAGTATATTGGGAGCATAGGGACCTTGTGGGAGGATTGAAGGGGGGAGGGGAAAGGCAGGGAGGGGAGCAGAGAAAAAATGTAAAGCTCAATAAAAATCAATAAAAAATGAACTTTTTTAACTCCAAAAACTAAAATAAAATAAAAAGGAAACAATGATCAGAGTTTAAACATTACCCATAACAAGCTACACACATTGAACTTCCTTATACTATAGTACAACACCGATACTATCAAGCCTAGTACCTTCCAAGCTGGCAATTCCCAAAGCCAGACCAGTCCCTACCATTTATTCTGTCCCTTCTATGTAGAGACTTATAGTAGCAAACCTCTCAGCAGAGCCTTTGCAACCCCCCTTTTTTTGGTTCTCTGGTCAGTGCCTCTTCCAAATCTTATCCTATTCATGAAATCATCAACTTCAAAAGCACAGGGAACACGCACTAAGGATCTTACTAAATAAATTCTTAACTATTCAAAGTGTGATGACCAGCAGTATCAATGACCCTGAGATGCTAAAATAAACAGGAGCATCTGAAGGGCCATCCCACTCTAGATTTTAACAAGAGTCACACGCACATTAAAGTTTGATGGACTGTGGCTCTCAACTGCTATTACCTGGTAACACAATAAAATTTTTTCATTCACTGACATACACGATTTTATTTATATATAGCATATACTTATTTTTATGCATAATATAGTACTGGAGGTACTCTGTATACTACCAGGAGAGAATGGTAAACACCAACCCAGCTACAAACCCTGTGATCTACAATGGTGATCTGCCTGAAACATACGTTGGTGCAAAAGTGCCAAAAATTGTGGAAGTAACCAATCACTATTTGATTGGAACTAAGGCCCCATATCATAAAAATGAACCCATGCCTGACACTGCACATGTACCCAAGAGCCTGAGACTTGCTAGGCCCAGGGACATAGGGGAAAACTAAACACTACTGTTCTGCTAAAGAATGTAATGATAAAATGACTCCTAATAGTTTGCTGTACTCATAGATCAGTGCCTTCCTCAACCATCACCAGAGAAGCTTCCTCCTGCAACAGATGGGAACAAACACAGAGACCCATAAATGGACAATATTCAGAGAGTGACAGACCTTGAACACTCAGTCCTAAATGGGATGTCTCCATCAAATCCCTCCCCTCAGGGTCAGGGAACCCTGTGGAAGAGGAGGAAAGATTATAAAAGCCAAAGGGGGATGAAGGACACCAAAGAAACAAGGCTTTCTAAACACAGCATAACAGACACAGATGGATTCACAGAAACTATTGCAGCATGCACAGGGCCTGCATGGGTCTGGACCAGACGGGGCACAACACTGAGAGAAGTGGACCCAGGTTCCATCCCCAGCACCCATATGACCTCTGACAACCATCTGTAACTCCAGTTCCAGGGGATCACGTGCCCTCTTCTGGCCTCTGTGAGCACCAGGCACGTGTGTGGTACACAGACATACATGCAGGCAAAACATTAATACACATAAGATAAAAAAATTAAAACTAAAACAAATGTTCAACACAACTAAAGACACAAAGAACAACCCCTGGAATTTCCAAAACATACCCAAAGGGGGTGGTACCAGTCAGCTGAGAACCACTGTTCTACAATCACAACATTCTTTGCCTTCCCTCTTTCTCACTCCTGTAAAAAAAAACTTATCTGAGTCATCCATCTGTGTCAATCTTTCATTTCCATTAATCAACTTACATGTATGACGATCACGAAAGAGTTTCAAAGACCCCAAGTCAATGAACACGTTCACAGACTCATGAATATACCGGACGTGGGCACTGCTAGTTGTGGCTCCACTTTCCACTACACCTCTTCCTCCCTGAAGAACCGCACTGTGGTCAGGAAACCATTCCTTTCCCACGTGTTTAAGCAAAGTGATCCTGGTTAACTTCAACTAACCAGAGCCCAACATTCCCCTGGTAACTGTTATGGGGCTAGGGACAGATACCTGACCCATGTTGGTCCAATCAGACCTGAAGGAAAAACATAATCCAAGCGTGGAAGTTTTATCCTCTCCTCTTCCCCTAGTGAATGACAAAGTATTGTTATTGGCAGTCAGCTTGCAACCATAAGGAAAATCGACAATGCCATAGTAAACCCAGGAACCACGTCTTTGATGATAGTGAGCCAACAAATCAATGCATTCAGTGTCCATCCTTCCTCTGGGTTTAGGGAGTTAATTCTCCTCAGTAGTTAACAATTAGATGTTTATTACCCTAACTTCAACCAATAGAAAAAAAACAGTCATGGAGGAGTTACGTGACATGCCCACTATCACATAGCTAGGCACTGGCAATACCACAGCACTGGAAGGCAGAGACCATGATCTGATTTTGCAGCCCTTATTAATGCGCCCCAAACACTACAGCTGCAAGAAACTTTTAAATGGGGAGCACAATTTTGAGGTTGTATTGGCACTATTCTGTGAATATTACGTTTCTTGGAGGGCCGATTTTTAGATTTTAGGCTGCTTATGTGTGTTTTGTTTTGTTTTGTTTTAGAAAGGGTCTCTTTTTGTAGGCCTGGTTGTCCTGGAAATCGTTATGTAAACCAGATTGGCCTCGAACTCACCTACCTCCGCCTCCTGAGTGCTGGGATTAAAGGGTGCGCTGCCTGTGATAATTTTTATGACAAAATATAGGTGACTTTACAAAAGATTAACTTAATGCTAAAATACAGGTTTTTGAAAGTCGTCACTGTAAATGCCTACCTTGTGGTGGGCAGGTGTTTTAAAAAAACACCTGTAAGGAAGGGGAAAGAGTCGACTTCTCCACAATGATGCTCACTAGAGCGTAAGCGACAGCTTCCCCCACATAGCCTTTCCTTCCTCAGCCTCCCGACGTCATCGGAGGCTGACCCTCCCCCCCACCCACACGCCAGGTTCTGAAACCCGATCCTGCCAAGCAACCAAAGCCATAAAGGCTGCAGCGCCGGGACCTGGCCTCATCCTACCCACGAACCCAAAAGGGCATTAGCCGGGAAAGTGGGTAGTATAGCGGCTTTTCACTCGAAAGAACTAGCCCAAGGCCAACCCCACCCATCTAGGGTTCCAAGCCTCAGCCTCACAGGTGCTGGTACCAAACAGTGAATGAATCGCCGGGCCAGGACATAGCCAGCCCGGAGGTGGGCAAAGCCTCGGGGGGAACCGAGTCTGATCCACAAAACAAGGCCCCACGGGAGCGTGGGAAGGGCTCCCGGCGTCGGAGAGGGGGAGATGACAACCGTGACCCGGTTCCACTCTCTCACCTTGAACATGTCGCTGGCAGCCGCGGCTCCGGCAGGGTCACCCCTCTCTTGGTCCCGCCCACTACGGAAAAGCGACTACGGTGGCCGGGTTAGATCCTGATTCCCTTGACCGCGAGCAGGCTGGGGCGCACGAGATGCCGTTGCTCCCCGCCTCCCGTTCAAAAGCGCCAATCAAACACCGCTAGACAGTGCGTCACGTTGCTTAGCAACCGACGTCGCCCGCGCGCGGGAGCGAGACGAAAGCAAGCCCCGCCTTCTTGGCGGTTTTTCGTCCCTGAGGGCTGTTGCTAGGCGGCTTAAGGCTGGAGCTCCGTGTAGGCGACGAGCTGTGGTAAGAGGACGGCTCCTTGGCACTCTGCCGGGCCGCGAACCTACTTTCGCCTCCACCTCCACCATTGAGCACTAGGCTGTGCCGTATGGCAGCCCTGTGAACTGAAGTAGCCAGGCGGTGGCGCCCGACGGACCCGGGAAGGCTGCACCAGCCTCTTAGGGAGAAGCGGCAGATCGACGGTGGGGCTTCGAGTTACCTCACATAAGGTTTTTCCCCTTGAAAAATGTACCGTATACTGAATGTTCCTTAAATTTTTAGGTTAAAGTAAATGACCTACGTCATTTAATCGCGAAAAATTGACCTTTTTAAAAAGAAAAGTACTAAAGTGTAAATCTGATAATCAAATATTTGTCCCATTTAATATCTGTAGACGGTAAGTGATGGTATTTAACTATTTGCAAGAAAAACAAGGACGTAATTTTATTCCTCCCACGCAAGTCGATAGGCGCTGTGTCCAAGGCCGTGTCGAGTGTCCAAGGCTGCGCTGCGGAAAATCTAAAGCTAGGCTCCAATTCCAGATAGTCTGCCTTTTAAATCTCTGCGCTAGTCTCGGCAAACGCTAGCCCGAACCAGAAAGACGGTGTAGTTCGTATTTCGTTCTGCCTTTCTGTTCTAATTTGACAGAAGATGGAGGCCACATGGGCATCCTGAAGATTTGGAGGTTTGTTCAATGGAAGGTCGCTGTCCTCTTATCCAAAGATAGTGCTAGAAACCACCTGTCCTTGAAGAAATTAGGGTTTTTTTTTCTTTCGCAGAAAAAAAACCCCACAAAACAACAACAAAAACGCCCACCTGCGGCAAACTGGAGCATTCCAGTAAGAAAGTGTTAAGTTTGTCGTAATATTTGAGTTTTGACTTGGTGATATGTGGTTAAGTATTTTTTAAAGCAGGACTTGGAAGTGTTAGCAAGCTTCAGGGTGGGAAAAACGCTAAGGGTCGACCGAGTGCCAGAGCAACCCCCTAATGTTAAGGGCAGCTTTTTTCCTTCTCAACAGAATTGTATGTTGCCAGCCACCCCATCTCCGATCCCAAAGGGCAAATACTGACTAGACCCCGAAGGCTCTGCGTCAGTAAGGTAATATCTTAGAAGTGCGAAGCACGGTGAGAAATCACAGCGGGAACTCTTAGTGCTCGGGGTACAGGAACCAGGGAAAGAGGGGGCTGACAGTTTCACCTCCACTAAACTCTGCCTGAACTTCAGCATTTCTTCCACGTACAGTGGAGGCAACAAGCCTCCAGTATGAGCAGTACCTGTGAGTGTCACCAATAGAAAGCGGAGATATCTTCACACCACCTACAATCACTGCAGCCGACTAAAAATATCACTTGTGCTCATTACTACAAAAGTACAGAGGTTATTAAGGTTTTGTTTTATGCATAAAAAAGACACAGCGTACTGCAATTTCATTTTTAAAGGGTATTTTGAAGATATAACTAAGATTTTGAGAGCTTCATCCAAACTGGAACGTAATCCTTCAAAAGAGTAAAAAAAAAAAAATACAGAAAGCTTCAAATAATTTTATACGTGCCTGCTCACATCACCAAAGGGGCACTGAGCCACGGGGGGGCGGGGGGATTAAGTAATTTGCGCAAAGTCTCACAAGTAAGCAACTAAAAGACGACTGGGGAGATGGCTCATCAAAACTGGACCAAAAACTCGACAGAAAATGTGTGAAAACCCTCTGCCCGGTTTCCATAGTCAGCAAAGTACCTCCTGCCACTAAGGAATTTGTGAGAATGAATATCCCTGAATTACTGCTCCAAAGGGTTAGCTTCCAGAGTCAGGTGTGGTGGTGAGCCGCTGCAAAGGCCAGCACGTGGGGCGTTGGGACAGGAGGATCAGTTTAAGGCTCTCCTCTATGCGTAATGAGACTGAGGCCAGCCTCAGCTATAGGAGACCCTGCGGCACAAGAAGAAACATTCGCTTCCACTGTAGGGTGAATAGGAGGCAAAAGCTAGGAGAGAGGGGGCCAGTTAGGAGGGTATGCATAGATTCACTGTCTTTCCCACAACCACACGACAGTTTAATAAAAGAACATAAACTGTAAGCGACACTAGACGCACGATGCTTTCTTTTTAAAGGGATTCTAAAATTAACACAACAATCATGTGACATTTAAGTCTAGTCCAAGTGTAATAATGTGAGGATTATGACTTTAATAGCTTAATGTATGTGTGTTCAGATTACTTCTTTGTAGGGAAAATGAAAAAGTCCTCAAACACAGCAGTTACTGGTGCTTCAAAATCAGATAGTCAGCTCTCAGAAAAAAGCCACAAGACACAATCGGCACGTGCTGCAAAGATAAAGGCAAGAAAAGAGTAAGAAGCCATCTTTTTGCCTTTTGTCGTTTTTCCACAACTAGACAAATTACAAACTTACCCAGGTTGTTTGTTTGTATGCTTTCCGTGTTTTTGTTTGTTTGTTTACACGACAGGGTTTCTCTGTGTAGCCCTGGCTGTCCTGGAACTCCCTCTATAAACCAGGCTGGCCTCGAACTCACAGAGAGAGATTCATCTGCCTCTGCCTGCTGAGGGCTAGGGCTAAAGATGTGCCCCACCACCCCAAGCTAAACTTGCCCGAGTTTACTCAGATAACTTTAAACATTCGTTAATGTGTAAATTAAAATTTTGGTGGTTTAAAAAAAATTCCCTTCAAGTTGAATATTATAGCTTTAGAATTTTATAATTTGCAAAGTGTAGTCACACGCCTGCTTGCTAATACTGCAGCCTTCTGAGACAGTTTTGTTAGTGCACATTGTAAGTAAGTAAAAGAGCACTGGGGAGATGGCTCAGTGATTAGGACCCCTCACGTTAGGTGCCTTCCAATTACCTGAAATTCCAGTTCCACAGGGTGCAATACCTTTGGCCTCTGAGGGACTGCACTGACATGCCCAATCCCAGGCGCAGACACATACATCCATGTAATTAAAATATTTTTAAATCTTCAAAAAAGGGAGAAAAAAAAACACAACTGGGAAGAAAGTTAAACCAGTTAATGAATGGCATCAGCTAGAATTCCAAAGGTTTATTTCTGTACTTTGGGTCTTTTTCTTTCTTTTTCTTTTTTTTTTTTTTCAAGAGGGATGACTGGCCTGGAATTCACAGAGATTTGCCTGCCTCTGTTCTCAGGTTCTGGGTGCTTTTCTTTTTTTCTTTCTTTTTTTTTATTTTTTCTTTTTTCTTTTTTTTTTGAGTCAGGGTTTCTCTGTGAAACAACCCTGGCAGTCCTGGAACTCACGCTGTGAACCAGGCTGGCCGAGAATTCACAGAGATCTGTGTGCCTCTGCTGCCTAAATGCTGGGATTAAAGGCATGCACCATCATCCATGTGATTTTTTTTTTTTTTTTTGAGACAGGGTTTCTCTGTAAAACAACCCAGGCAGTCCTGGAACTCACACTGTGAACCAGGCTGACCTCGAACTCACAGAGACCTCCCTACCTCTGCTTCCCAAGTGCTGGGTTTAAAGACATGCACCACCATCCATGGGATTTTCTTTTTTTTCAGACAGGGTTTCTCTGTGAAACAACCCCGGCAGTCCTGGAGCTCACTCTGTGAACCAGGCAGGCTTTGAACTCTTAGAGATCTGCATGCCTCTGCTTCCTGAGTGCTGGGATTAAAGACATGCACTGGCACCACCAAGCCCTTTTCTATTTTTGGTTGTTTATATGTGTGTGTGTGCATGTGACAACCTTGAGTGTCATCTCTAAGAATGCCGTTCAACTCCTTTGAGATACACTCTCTCATTGGCCTACGGTTTGTCAATTAGGCTAAGCTAACCAGCAAGCTCGGGGGTCCCCCTGTTTCCACATCCCCAGCACTGGGATGGCAAGCACATCCCACCATGCCAGGCATTTTTTTTCTTTTATTTATTTATTTATTTATTTATTTATTT